GTGATGGTCAGCCCTGATCACTGAGATCACAGGCCTCATTTTACTTCACTTGGAAACACTCTTAAAAGAGGACACGACTAACAGCGGATGTAGCTCTTCTCCCCTTCTATTCTTTATGCTTACACATCTAAAAAGCTGAAGGATATGAACAAAGTGATCAAAGAAACCCAAATTACTTAAGTAGACTGATAAATTGTGAAAATCATCGTCTTTATGAGCATTAACTGTTTGGGAAAAAAGATATAGCAAGAAAATATATTTTTCTACCATATCTCTGACAAGAAGGACAGTCAGAAGAATCCAGGGTGAATGAGAGCAAAGACATTAAACTTTCTAGAAACTCCAAAGTAGGCTGGAAGCAGAAATCACAGCTCTGCATTTCATAGTAGAAACACCTTCAGTATTTTTGACCATCTAGCTAGGTCTTACTTTTACCTCGGAAGTATTTAGTATATTTTTCTGAAGCCTACTAGGATTCTTTGGAAATATATTTACTTTTTTTTTTTTTTAATTAAAAAGTTCATATTCAGCTGTTTCTTTGACCTGATATGAAATACCATTGACTGTTCTTTTAAAAGGGGCAGAAAAAGTATTTAATATGTTAGGGAATAAAAAGGGAAGGAGGTAGATGCTCTCCTGTTGAACTTCTACTGGCTTCTGAAAATGCCAAGACTCAGAGTTCCTCAATTCTCTGTTCTGGTTCAATTTGCTAAGACTAATTACATTCTCTTCCCTAGAGTAATTTTGGAGGCAAATGGAAGAAAGGTAACTCTTCTTCAAAAACGGAAACATTTAGAGTCTTGATTATATAAATGCCATTGAAAAGTTTTCTCTCATTTCTCCCTGAATTCATAAAGCAAAAAATTTTCAAATTGAAAATGCAGGAATGTCAGCATAGGTTACTCAAGCTGCAGGTCACCCACAGCTTTTGTGACACACTGCTTGAGCTAAACTCTACACACAATTCACCATATGTGCAACTTGGGCTTTTTGGAAGCATGGTAACGTTTTTTTAATGATATCTTATTCCCATTCTCCCCCTAAACAGAGTAGCATAAAAACCAAAACACACAAGAAAAAAAAAAACAAACATAACCACACATACTTTACCACGAATATATGCTGCACATAAGGCAAATTCAATTTCTGGATCTGTTATCAAGTAATATCTCACAAAGTAAAGAGATAAAAAGTTTGTCCCAAGAAGAAAAAAGAAAAGGAACAGATGCAGTTTGGTGTCTGGCACAGTGTACAGCACTTGACAAAGTCTGGAAAGAAAAGCCTGCAGCTCCCTTTTTACTCACCAAGACAAAATGTGCAAATAGCTGTAATCCCCTCCTCATTTGGAGGCCAATAAAACAACTGTTAATGCATACGCTATTATAATATGTTTAACAGTAAAATGCATCCATTTGGCTCCCCCTAGGAATTTGAATTTTTGGACTTGGTGCCCAATCATCTATGTAATTTCTCAGTTCAGTAATATTAAGAGAAGCTTCCCACCTTCTGAAATATCACTCTACTGCTCTGATTGAATAAAATTAATTGTCTCCCTCTCCACCCCCAACTAACATGAAACAGATGGAAAATACATTATACCAGAAGCTCTCACAGAATTATTTTCTCCTTCAAATACCAATCACTGATTGCAGTGTACTCCTTACACACATAACATATCAACTGAACTCCACTGTGAGAAAAAGTCCAAGTTAGATGTATTAAGAATCCACTACAGTTACTGAGAAATCAATTGGGGTTTTGTGGTTGGGGTTTTTTTCCAGAACAGATGCAATACATAGTGTTGAAAGAACTGATTATGTCTAAGTACCTTCCGGGTACCTTTTCTACGTACTCTTCAAGAGAATCCTTTAAAATGTACGACTTTCATACCTAAGCCTAGCGCCACATACCAGCAGGCATAAGACCAACACTGAGGAAACAGGGTCCTTGAACATAAGCAAAAGAATATGCAACTGAAAGTTCAGAGACTCCCCTAGTTTTCTCATGTTTGTTTCATGCAAGTTTAAGACTGCTTTAAATTACATTTGTGAGTATTGTATATATCTGAAATTTGTCTCTCATGTATAAGCGTTATCACAATAGACCACTGAGGTGGCCAGGATTCTTTGGCACTCCTATAGTGAGAAGTAATCAGTATACATACAAAAAAAAAAAAAAATCAGTTTGAAAGATTGAGCAATGAAAAAGAAACACATGGGATATCATTTTCCAGGTTATATGTTTCACCACTCACGATTGTTTTCTTCTTTATCCTTCCCAGCAATACCAGTTACTTACATTCTTAAAACAAAAAAAATTTCTGGCAACCCATCCAGTACAGAGTTGTGTTTAAATCGAAATTCAATTGTTTCAGTAACTGAACTCTATAAATTTCACACACAGGAGAAGAGCTGTATGCAAAAGGAACACATTATTCAATCACAGTCAGCCAATCAAGCTAGCATAACACAGATTAAAATCCCCACGGAGTTACAGACTGAAGAGCTATTTGGAACTACAGTGTGGCCATCTACTCCTACCTTTGCTACAACGCAGCCAGATAAGGTATTGTTCTGTATCTTTAAAAGACGATCCTATTGTGTTAAGTTAATTCAGCTGAGCTTTAGCAAGTGTGAGAGAAGAATCAAACTTATGCCCATCCTGAAGGAGCACAATGCTCTCTGCCCTGAGCAGTCCCAAAGAAGTCATGCAGCATGCCAGGTACAAAGTATTTGCAGAAGTGAGCCTTCAGATAGGGCTGCAAAGGCTCTGGGTTAAGGAAGCACTTACCAGCTTCCTTCTTCTGCTTGATCTGTTACACAGCTCGACAGTAACAGATAGCCAGCTGCATGAGTGTCAATGTTCAGATAAGTTTCTCTCAATATCTGTCACAAAAACCAGACACTGTATCAGTGTGCCAGCTGTATTATCGGTCACTACATAGTTAATCATACTTAATAACATCCTCGAGCACAGACATGGCACACAGACAGCAATAACTGCGAACCACAGTCACCCAGACCATTCTGACTCTGAGCTGCCAGCTCAGTGCACTCTCGACAAGTACCTGCCTACCACCTTTTCCCTCTCAAACACATTAGCTTGCCTCAATATGGGGCCAGAGTTTGTTTTGAAACTCTTAACAGAATCACTGAAAGAAAAGAGGAAAAATACCATAAATGATTCTCTGGACTGTTTCCAGAGGAGCGTGTTCTCTTAGCGATTGCTTTGGAAGCAAGCCAAAAATGGGAAGTGTTCTTGCAAATGAGCACGCTACTATGCTCAAGTACAAGTTATCATTTAATTCTTTTGACAACATCAGCATGGATAGAAATTAAGAAGCCTGTTTAATAAACAGGTTACCTGAATTCCAGTTATCAAACATCAATTTCTTCTCTATCCATCTATGCCATGCTTACTCAGCTCCTGCCCCCCACCTACTTCCCAACATACAGTGGTTTCTTTTTTGGATACTTTCTCTCCTTTATTGAAAGTGTAATAACATTAGTATATTATTACATCAACCATAACAAGGTCTGTAACCAAGAACAAGTTAACTAAGAAAAGGAAAGAAATCAGTCTCTCAGAAGAAAATATCCAAAAACCTCAAAACAAACTTCTATGGGACACAGCAGTTAATATTTTTAACAGATCTTTAATACCGTCTACTGAATGATTATGTCCAGGCAGCTTTTTACATTACAATTACTCCTAATGAGATCACCTTCTGCAGTGCATAAGACCTCATCCCTTCCCAACAGAACAATGAAAGATTTGTGTGGGGCTATGAAAGTCTCAGATCAACTCCACTCACTTCACCTTGTACTGAATTTCCTCATAAAAACTCGTCAACAGCACAATAGTACTTTTTTCCTGAGGAAAAATTATTAATAAGGAGACTCGTTTGCTTTGGTTTAGGGTGTCCTTAATCCTCTAAAGATTTTGAAGTCCTCATAAAGGCACATCAGACCCACTGACTGCTGTCAGCTTTGGTTTTGACATTATGTACATTTCTCTTCTTCATAGATTTGTGAGGGGTTTTTTCCAGTTTCTGACTTACACCATTTCTCAACAACAAATGTCTGCCTATCTTACAATATGGTGATATATAACTCCTTGTTCTATCTGACAAAAAAAAATGATAGACCTTGTATTAAATGTACATGAAAATACCTGTCTTCAAACAAACTGCCTGTTCTCTTACTTTTACTCTAAGCAAAGACAATGAAACATCCTCTCTCATGCTAAGCAGAAATGTCTTATGGCTGCAGCCCCAGAGACAGCAATGCTAAGGATACATATCATTCTAAGAACACGGCTGACTGAATTAGTATAAATTAGAAAGTACAACTTGGCAGTTTCTGATTTGCTAGTACTTTAAAATAATCACCATGATCCTATAGTAAGCCGAAAGTTTAGTTTTATGCAAAAACATATTGTGGAAAGGAAACCACAATTTTTATCCTGAAAATTTAATATTCTGTTTGAAAGATCTATCTTGTGTTTGAATTCTTACACACTTCACAAAACTCTCTCAGTTTTTATTGTGTGTGTATTCTTCCCATTACTAACCACACCCCATTCTATTTTACTACTTTACTAGTTTCCTTATAATTCCGTCCTAGATCATCTGAAAGAACAAAGTATTTACCTACTCATACCTGATGTTATTAATACAGTGTTCTGTGATAGGTATGACTTGCTCAGCTTTACGAAGAAGCACAAGAAACAATACCTTAACCAGTTAAAAATGTTAGTCCTGTACCTATAGTTATACTTCACACAACTTCAACTTTTTTTGTTTAAATTTGAAAATGTAGTATGCAACCACAGATTTCCATAATCGAACTGGCTGACTGCTTTAAATTAAACAGTGTGAACCTTGCAGATTGAGGATCCAAAAACTTTAAAAGCAGGCTGATTGTGTATTTCTCCTGAAAAAATAAAAAAAGCTGGTAGAACATGACCTATAATTTAGAGCAAGTTGTGTGTTTACTTACGTTCACACGTGTCTCCTTTCTGCTGGTATCCTGCTTTGCAGATACATTTTCCAATAGGCACTAACCATTCTCCCTCCGCACTACAGTGCATCTTCGGCGAGTTCTCCGCCTCCTCCTCCGCACTGCTGACACAAGTTCCTCGCACTTCTACTAAAGAGGAAAACTCTGAGCCAGTCACTGTGTCAGGAAAAATAGCTAAGTTCTCAATGATGGACCAGCACTTCTTGTAGTAGACTTTGACAGAGACCAAAGCAATGCAGGCCCCTACATCCTGAAACGCAAGATAGAATCCTTTTTTGGACAAAGGTCCAATTTCTCTCACCTCTGTGTTAAGTTTCATTTTTCTCTCCCCAAGATCACCCTGGGTAAAACTTTCATCTGCTGCAATAGTGTCTATTTTTACATATTGGTTTTCTCGGATATTCCTGCCAGTGTCGTAGTCTGTTTCATAATAATACAAGTTAAAAGTTTCTTTACAAGTCCCCAGAACTCCAGGAAGACTGTTACAATCCCTCAGAGTGAATTTCAGTTCTACAAAAATCCTTTGTGCATTGCTTTTTGCAATCCAGTTAGTCCGAAGCCAGTTGTTTTGGTTTGATTCCATCACCTGGCATACCTGGTATGTTCGTATAGGAGTGTAGTTTTCATCCAGTCCACTAATTTCTTCCCACTAAAATGATAACAAACAGTTAGTAATGTAACAAGAAGTATGTCACCAGATGTAACTACTGTGTATTTAAAAAGCTTCATATAACACATCTTCCTCCCTTTTAACAGTAGGCTATTTTTAAAAATACTCTTAAGCACCTAAATGAAGAAATATCTATTAATGCAGCAGTAGGCTCTCACTGCCTCCATGTCTTTTCCACATATAAATAACTTTTAAAAATCATTGTCATAACACGGGCAGAGTTGCAAAGGGGGACCCTTAGAAAAGGCTGTTTAGCATATCAGGTTCTGATTACACACTGGGCTCATACACATTTTGTTAAGGTCACAATGGTTTTGGGTAAGTAAAGACTGAAAGGAGGGAGGCAGCTTCTCTTTCAAAGAAACCTGAAACCAGTGAAGTCTCATAAACTGAAACTGCCCAATGTTACAGTACATAAAACTTGTCAAACTTTCAGCGTAGTTGTACAGAAAGCATGGGATCAAGTCCTGAAACTTGTGAGTCAGATGATTCTCACTCTGTGATTAAAGTGGCATAGAGAGAAGGCAAGAGAAAATGACAGAATTAAAAATCTGAAAGCAAGAAAACATTTTGGTTGTCCCTTTTTTGTTCAGGCCACATTCTGGTTTATTTAAAACCAAAGAGGTAAGTGGCAGCTCCTTCTCATCTCACATTCTGTCCAGTGGCTGCACCCACGTTAAGAGGAGCAAACTTCATTTAGTTGTAAATTCAAATAAACTATGAGATTACATACAACCCACATGACTGAAAGTTCACTGGTTCAAAGCCTGGGTCTTGTTGATGTTCCCTTTCTTGGTTACCAACTGTGTAACGAGCTAGTAAGCCTGTAACAGCCCTGGAGTCTTTAACAGCCCATAGTAGCGTGGGAATTTGCATCTCCAGCAATGGCAAACCTTCCACTAAAATCAATCAGGCAGATCTGCCCAGGTGTAACCAAAACAATATCAGTCTCTCACCTTTTTTTCACATTTCTGGTAGCATTTAATTGACTGCAGAAAACACAGCTGTAGTAAATTAGAGGAGGGGGGTGAGCTTTCCTCACCCCATGATACAGGCAACCATGACTTCTCTGTATGGCACTTGGCCCTCTGGCCCTGTGTCAATAATGCACTTAAGCTCATGCTTAAGATCAGTAAAAGTACTTATGAGCTTAATGGTAAGCATGTGCTTAAGTGCTTTGTGGGGACTAGTATACTCAGCACCTCTGCAGGATGGAACATCCACTGACATTCCTTACACAGGCAACAAAACAAGTGTGGAAGGCACTGTTTCACCAGACCAGGAGTCACATAGTATACAATACTTTGCAAGCCTATTCGACAGCAAATGAGATCATTTAAATGTTGTTGCCTGTTCCAAGAAAAAGCAGATGTGGCTGATTTGATGCTGGAAGTTATCACCACAAAATATATCACAGCTGCAGATGCTGAAATGCACAGAAGTTGTAAATATCAAAGCACATTTCAAGGACCAACAGTTAATATAGATTTTGTATATATGGAATTATATATGCATATGGTATTAAATGACTGAAATACATTATTAGATGCTCATGAAGTTAACTCAAGTGACTGCACATGGAACAAAAGAAAGTCTATTTTCATAAGAGATTTATTAGATCTGAATTAGTAATATTTTTTCCACCTTTGTAAGGACTAGTACAAACAAGAAAAAATAAAAAAGGGACCCTGGACTGACAGGATTTTGGCTGTGTCACAATAATAAAAAATATCTCCCCCTCAAAAAAAAAAAAAAAAAAAACAAACCACCAAACAAAAAACCACAACAAAAAAAATCCCACTAAGACGATGTAAAAGGCATAAAGCCTAAAACTGTACTGATTTTCATAGTCTCCATTTCATATCAAGTAGTCCTATTTGCTTTGGGGTTTCTTTGAGTTGGTTGGTTTAGGGGTTTTATTTATTTTATTTTTTATCTTGTGTAAGCATTCTTCCCTCCCAAGATAGATTCTGCAATGAGATATTCAGTTAGACAGTGTACTGTATCTTTGAAGTGAAAGTAACTCTAATGCACCCCAGAACAGAATCCGTTTCCTCAGATTTTGATGTGGAGTGCTTGACCAAAACAAAGCCCCTGTCCCCTCAAAAAAACCCAAAAAAACTGAAACAAACAAACAACTAACAAACAAAATATATTTTACAAAATTAATCTATTTTTAGTAATACAACACAAGTGAGTTCTCTCAGAGTCAAGATCCCACTACATGAGACTAGCTAGTATCAGAGAGATTCTCATGCTACAGTCAAGGAAAACAATACAAAAAACTAAATTCACACAAAAAGTTCTACTTTTTGGTATCCTTAGCATTAATACATTAATTTTTTTTCTGCAGAGAAAAAAAATAAATACATTAGTACTTTAGGATGCTGTCACCTATGAGCTCAAACTTCATTAAAGTCTTCTTATAGCAATCAATTCTACCATAGCTTTTACAGCAAGAAAACTCAACTTTTCTTTGTCCAGCTGCAAAATATGGTGATACACATGCAATTCCATTTGAATGTGTCCTGGTTTATTGGTTTCAATTTATGGCATTTTAACTTCTTAGTTATCTTAACAATGTTAAATGTAGCATTTGCACTTGAATGAGGCATTTAACAAGTGTCTGTCTGACATATTATGTACTGTGATGATGCAGTAGTTTCTCAAGTAGATTTTCTGTGTGTATTCCCATGAAGTCTTTATTGCACAATAAAAAATTCAATAACTAAAATTTACATTATTAAAATCGTACTTTTACAGTAATTTACAGGTAACTTTTTCTGAACATTTTCATGCATACAAATCCAGCCACAAGTTTCGATTCACTTTTAATTCCTGATTGAAATTGGCTTTCACCTCTGAAAGTTGCCTTTTACTATCTGTTGAATTTGACTCTGCGTTCATCATTCAATATGCTGACATGTGTAACATGTGTTGACATGTCTTTCATTATCTACACGTTAGCCTAATATAACTGCCACCAAGCTAATCTTTCAAACAGCTCTGGTAGAGGCTTCAATCAGTGCAAAACGCTAATGCCGAGGTTATTAGCCATCATATGCATTGAGCTCACATTACATTCTCTCTGAAGTCCTTAGATTAGTTTCCAGTTTATACTTGTATTGATGTTACAATCTTGCTTTTAAAGAAAGACACTTTCACATTTTCATTCTTCTTGTTTAAAGGATTTGTTACACTTTTATATCCCCACTCACACTTCACGCTCTTCTGGCTCCAGCTTTAACACGCTGAAGATTAAGGGACTGATCCTCAAAATTCTTGCTCATGCAAGGAGTCACAATAGATTCAGCAAAACTGCTTCCATGAGTAAGAACTGTTCATATAATTTATGATTTGTCAGACTGAGCTAATGTAGCACTGAGCTAAGGTAGGACAATACACCCATTATATCTTTCTGAACAGGTTCTTCCTCAAGGCTGGAGGAAGAAGGGGTTTTATGACATAATTTTTAATTCAGACTGAAAGCAGCATTTCTCAACTTTGCATATATAATAAGTAAGACAATAACACTGATGTTCCTAAACATCACATTTTTTAAAATGGTGAATTTTACAATGGTGCATTTCATATAGTGCTTTTATATTAATTTGTAAAGAAGATAGAGGTGGCCTTAACCACATAATTTGTGCCTAGTTCCAGATATGAGGCTCCTCAAGACTTGGGGGTGTTTCAAGTTTGGAATGTCATTTCAAACACATCTGCAATATACATGGTTTTATTCTTGAGCTCTTCAATCTGTGATAGTCAATTGCAAAGAAAACATCGTAAACAAATTTATGATCACCCATTCTACAGAAACTGAAAAACATATTTTTAGAAAGTTTCCCCTCAGAAGCAAATCTGATGTTTCTAAAGGAAGAAGGAAAAATTATATAAAATATTGTATCAAAAACAGGTAGTGTAATCATTTGTACAGCACAAAGGAGTACACTACAAAACATAAGGGTACCAAGAACATTTAGGTGAGTTTCTTAAGAGACTCTTGCTTTTAAGTAGCATGTACATTTGTACACTGTAACCAACATTTCATTCTAAAAATGAAGAAGCCATAAACAGTATGGTTACTGAGAAAGGTATGAGGGAGAGCGAGTTCAAAGCAGGTGTTTCAACTGCTACAGTAATTACTTGTCTCTAGGAACTTAGTTCTTGCCTGGAGTACTTACCCCATTGGGAGGAGAGGAAATCCATTCCAACTCTGTCTGTTGTGCTTTAGAGTCCAGCAATATTACTAAAAAAAGGAAAAAAATTAAATTCCACAGTTTATTGAATATAAGTGAGAATATAAAACTAAAGAACAGAATCTGAATTTTAAAAAGTGATAGAATGAATACAAATTTTGTACAATTAATATTTTTCTTCATATTATTAAAAAATTATCTGCAACCACAACTATGCCTTTGATTGTAAGTAGATGATTAAAAGATTATGTGGCATCCACATATAAGCAGATATACATTATTCTTTACAATTTCATTGCTTATAACTAAGTGGGGATTTTTTTAGTGCTCTGAAGTGTTACTAATCAGTCATTAAGATGCATGTTCTCTCCATCTCCTTTGTCATAAGAAGGACATTTCCCATATGCTGGTTATTTCAACCAGCTTAAAACAAACAAATATACACCAATATTTCAACATTTTCAAACTGATTTAGATAAGACTGGTCTGTGCCTTACTGTGAGTCACACTGAAAAAGCAATCATCTTTTTTGAGTGTCAAAGTAAAAAATACTTCCATTAGATGATGAAATAGTAATTCGGTAAACAAATGACAACCAGGAATGTAGAAAATAAAAGACTCTGCAGTTACGTCACACCTTGCATTCACAAAAAAGAGACTAATTCACTTCATGATAGTGGCTTATTAAAATCTTCATGCCATTATACCCCCATGACATTTCTATACAGAAAGACATCAGTTCTTGTTGCATCACAACTATTTCCAGCTAAATGTAATCTCGCTTCTGAAAGTGGTTAATCACAGCCTAATAAACCAACTCTTTGGTAGCATTTCTAATTTGAACCTATTCCATATATGTTTAGCTATAGTGCTATTTATAACGTCATACACATTTAAGGACAGATATATAAATGTTTGATTTAAGGCTGTAACTTGAAGCAACTTTTGTCAGGTCTTTTGGCCCTTTCTCCTAGCATAATTGAACACAAAATTTCAATGAATTAGTAAAAAGATGAGATGACTACAAAAGGTATTTAAAGGTTCATACAGTAATATATGGAACGTTAGCTGAACACAAAACGGTACCTTCCAGGCCTGTATTTCAGTAATGAAGTGGAACTACTCATTAAGGAAGTTTCATAGTCTCCCTCTAGAAGGATTACCTGCTTATTTCATTAAGCTCGGATTCAAGGGGCTTTATTTTGTAACACTTTCTATAGTAAAGCAGATGCTGTATGCGGTGGTTTGTTAAACAAGAACATTTATAATCGTCCTGAAAAAAAGGGCACCATGAAAAATTTAACCATTTCAGCACCAGCACAACCCATGGCTGCAATTCATTATACTTTTTATTTGGCAGTAATTCTCCATCACGTAGCAACGGATGGGTACATCTCAGAAAGAAAAGACAAGAAGAAAATAAAAAAAAAAAAAAAAAGAAACCAAATGCACACAAACCCCTGCTCTGCAAACACTCCTTGCAAAGGAATCGTGGCGTTCCTTCCGGCACCCAAAGTTACCGGGGGAGAGCTCTCCAGGCCAGCGGCTGCTGCCCCGCTCCCTGCCCCGGGAGCCCTGTGGCAGTCATGGCTCGTTCTGCAGCGCGGGGAAGCGATGCGGGGGGACGGTGTCCGCAGCCTCCCGTGAACGGAGCACACCGGGACCCCCGGCGCAGTGCCCCCCGCGGGGGAGCTGCGGGCCGAGAGCGACGGGAGGCAGCGGGCGAAGCGCGGGGGCGCGGCCGCGGGAACGGGCTCCGGGGGCCCCGCAACCGCGCTCCGGGAGCTGCGCGGGGCTGCGCTCGGGCGGCCGCGCCCCCGGGCCGAGGAGAGGGGCTGAGCCGCAGCGGAGCGCCGATACCGCGGCCGCCCCCGCCACACCCCGGGCAGCCACTGCCTTCGGGGAGGAAGCGCCCGGGACGGCGGACCCGGCACGGAGCCCCGAGCTCTCGGATACACAACACCACCACCACCACCTCCCCACCCCGGTCTTCCCAGGGGGAGCGGGCTGCAGTGCCCCCGTGCCTGCGCTCGCCCCGAGAGTCTCGGCCAGGGGAAGAGGACTCCGCAGGTAACGCGGTCACTCCCTCGCTTAGAGAGCTAGACGGACCCTGCCCCGCTCCTCTCCAGCGGCTTATATTTAGCTACAGAAAGGAAACTCGCAAAACTTTTCGGTGCTTCACCCCCTCATCCCTCTTCGGTACCCAGCGGGGAGCGGTGGGTAAACGCGCGGGGCTGCTGCCTCCACCGGCCCTTTGGCGGGGCTGGCGGTGAAGCTGCAAAGTTACTTTTTTTCTTCTCCTTCTTCTTTGAAAAAAAAGCTCTCTCTTTCTTCCGTGGGAGTTTTCTGCGCTTGCAGCAGGTAGCCGCTATCAATCCCTGTCTGCCGCTCGCCCCCTCCTGACCCTCCTTTGGCTAGGTGATTTTCTCTGAACGTACAGTCATTATACACCCACACTCTTAGGTATAGATGCCTACATATCCATCCATACACGTATGATTAAAAACGGGGCAGACTAGCGCCGGGGAGCACCGGCGCAGCCCCGATCACGGAGCAATCCGCAGGGCAGAGTGGGACAGACAGCCACAGTCTCTCCAGCTTCCTCCCTGTCCGTCTGTCCGGCCCTTCTCCCGCTCCCTACCCCACGGCCACGCGTTAATATTCTCCGTGTGAGGGTCTCTGTGCTTTACAGCCCCTTTAAATAAACTTTCGAAATGCTGCTAGGGAAAGGCTCGCCCTTCTATTCCTCGCCATCGACTTCTTCTCTTAAGGGCAGAGGACATTTTAATTGAGGCATTTTTTTAAGCTCCAGTTACAAGCTCAAAATGATATTTTACTGCATGCCAGCGGCTTGATGAAAAATATTGACGCATCTAGCTGAAGGGGGGGAATTGGGGGAGAACACAAACGTATGCATATGCAGAGGCACCGAAAAAGACCTGACTCCCCCTTCCCTGTCATGTCGTGTCGTGTGTGTCCCCCCTCGCTCTCCCGAAGATGGAGACGGACCTTCGGCTGTCAAACGGGAGCAGAGCGCTCCTTTAAATCATTTCGGATTTTCTCAGCGTGAGAAAACAAAATCCCAGATGGACTTTGTGAACTGATTTTAAACACCTCCATAAGTCTGAAAAACTGCCTGGTTTGTCTCTGTGCGAGGGGGAACCCAGTGTCCGGGGTTCGCCTTACATAGATACCAGTGTTGGACCGATGGAAACCGGGAAGCCCCGCTGTGATCCTCAGACGGTGTAAAACGTCCATCCCTTAACCTCTCTCCCTCTCTCTCTCCAGAGATGCCGGGGGAAAGCACAAACGTTGCAAGGCACACGATGCCAGGCCGTATGTACCCTCTAAATACATGCCCAGCTTGCATGGCCGGGAAGTGCGAAACTGCCTCTGATGCTCCTTCCCGTGGTTTATGACCGGCCCCACGGGGCCGGAGCGCTGCGGGCCCCCGGGCGGTAGCGGTGGGGAGCTGACCCGCAGCCTGAAGCCCCGTGCCGAGCCTTGCCTTCCACGAGACGTCCCAAGCCCTAAAACTCGGCCCTCGGCCCCTGCCCGAGGAGCAGCGAGGTAACCCGCCCTCCCTGCACCTACCTCTATGGGGAGAAGGAGGGCTGGAAGGGGACAGCGAGGCACCCCTGCACAAATCCCCGGGCCGAGGTCTCTCCCCAGCCCCATGCCGTTTCATCACGTGTGAATGCCTCCCAAGCCTCATTCCTGGGAGCAAAGGCAGTTGTCCTGGTCTCTCACACATGCACACGCACATCCCCACCAGTGAATGCCTAGGTCTTTCCTCCATCCTATCTCAACTAAAAAAAAAAGTCTTTTTTTTTTGTCTATTTTTTTTCCTTTAATGGGGGCTGACAAGCAGCTGGCAGGGGCAGGCAGGTCCCGCGCTGAGCCACCACACGGACTTCGTGGGCAAAAGCAATAAATAAACCCAAACTTTTGTTTTCCGCATCACCTTACCTTCTTTTGCAGCCTGTGCCTCCCCCGTGTGTGCAAAGCGGAACAGCCAGACGGAGCACAAAATAATCCAAGAAGGGAGCCTACTTTGGAAAGCCATGGTGCAGGAGCGGGATGATTTTATATTTCTAGCTCTGTATTTCTAGACACTGCCACTGCCGCCGCTTCGTGGGTGCTAGAGGACGGTGGAGAATTTGCTGTGCTAGTCTGTAGCTCGGCGCTCCCTCCCTCCAGGCTGCCTTTCTCTTTTGTCGCCGCCTCCTCCGCCTCCTCCTCCCTCTCCGCCGCCCCCGCACCGCTGCCCCGCTCCCGCTCCGGGCCGGCCGCCCGCCAGCCCCGACTGCAGCGCGCCCGCCCGCGCCGCGCGCCGATAATATCAATGAAGGCGAGGGGGCGGGACCGCGGCGGCCGCGCGGCCCGTCCCTCAGCGTGACTGACAGCCCGCGCCGGCCAAACAGCAGCGGCTCTCGGCGCCCGCCGGGCCGAGGCGGCACCTGAGTGGTCGCGGTCGGGGGGCGGGGCCGGCGGCGCCGGCCAATGAGCGCGCGGCGGTGTCGGGTGTCCGCGGGTGCCGGAGCCGCGGGCAGCGCGCGGGGCGCGGGGCCGGGACGGAGCGGCTGCGCCGGGAGCGGCGCCCAGCGCGGGGGGCTCCGGGGCTTGCCCCGCACGCCTGGAGGCCGCCGGCCGGATCGTCCTGCGAGCGAATGGGACGGACGCCCAGACGGACGCATGCCACTCCCCCGCAGGGTTCCGTGTGTTCTCCCCGAGCCGCAGCCGCCGGGGCAGTGAGGGAGAGGGGTCCCGGCCGGGATCCGGCTGCAGTCCCAGCCCGAACCCGACCCCCCGAGCCGCTGCCGCCGCCGGCGGGTCCCGGCGCTGCCCCCGCGCGGTGCCCGCCCGTGGGCGGGCTGAACGCGCATCTGGGCTGCTGCCTTCGAAAGGGAAACTTCGGCAGGAGCTGCGGGATGGTGCCCGGAGGCATCCCCGTAACAAAAGTCAAGTTCCTCGAGGTTGGCATCACCTGGGCTCCCTTCTCTCCTGTCTCGTTGGGGTTTTTAGCCCCGCGTCTGCGATTTGCCCCAAATACGAAGAACAGGTTAATGACAAATATAGTCATTATTTGGAGAGGAGAAGGAGCGGCTGCTTCCCCTCCGCCCCCCGTCGGGTGTAACCTGAAGCGCGTGTAATCCTCCAACAATGGGACAATTTAAATAGGAGAGGGAGGAAAAAAAAATAAAACCGGAGGGAGAGAGGAACTTGCCAAATCTCTTTTGTCAGCGTTCAAACACGGACCGGGAGAGCTTTTCCCGGGATTCTATCAGGCCCCCTCCCCTTCGCTTTCCTTTCTCCAAACCTACCCCTCGCTCGTTTTGACGAGTGAAACAACTGAGGGACGGACACGAAAACTTACCGCTGCCCGAGCAGGGCTGCGGAGCGGAGGGTGGTGCGAGGGGCACCCTCGGCGGGAGCGCTCCTCTCCCGTGCCGCGCAGCGGCCCCGCATCCCCCGCGGCCAGAGGGGCTGGCCCCGACCCCGCTCCGCGCAACCCCTGCCCCGGCCCCTGCCTCTGGCTCTGTCCCGCGCAACCTTCCCGGGGCGGATGCCGAGCAGCACGGACCGTGTTTTCTACTGCTTCGCTAAAAGTGCATCGCCGTGTCCTTTCAGAGGGTGGATATTGCGATGTAAACAGAATAAGTGATTATCGTCTTGGAAGCAGGCAAAGGCAGCGAAGAGCGGGGGGTGTAATTGCAATTCTGTGGCAAGATTATGCGGGAATCTGAAACAAGCCTTGCGCAGATGGGGACGCTGATATAGAAAACGTTATGCCAAAAATGGAAATTTAAATTGGGGGAGGTTTGTTTATGGAACCTTTATAGGCAGATAAGGCAAAATTATTATTATTATTATTATTAATTAGAATTATTATTATTAATAATAACAATATAACAACAATAATAACAGTACTATGCTCAGCACTGTCGGATAAACAGCCACCATACTCCAGGCTTTGGGCACTTCCCTGTGGGCTCCTCATTACTTCCGAGAGTGGTGTGGAGAAAGCCTCAGAAATGTGCTGTATTCCTTTCAGTTGCTGAATAATTAATATGGCTTAGAATGTGACACTTTTTGCATTTCCTTTAGAATGCTCTGTTGATAGGTCGGATATCATGATAAGTGTAGGCAAAGTAAGGGCTCTTCATTCTCTCATCCTCTGTCATCTGTCATTGCCATCCTCATGCGTGTGTACTCAGAAAGGGGAGCTGTACAGAACAGTGAGTTTGCTTACCTTCTTTTAAAAAGGCTGTTTTGTTTCATAAATACTTGCATACAGGTATTTTGTAACTTCTTGGCAAATTTTCATAGGTAAAGCTGGTTTTCATGTGGCATATATTGTGACAGTGATTAAAGTGGATATAGGAAGTCTTCAACCTAGTTGGTCCTCCATAATTTCCTAGCATGAAGTGCTGGCATTTCACTACAATGTCATTAACCCCAAAAATGATTTTTTAACCTACAGATTGTGCTAAAAAAACCCATAAAATTGTATTCACTCTTTGAATTACTATGTTCATAAAAATGCAGAAACTCACTAAATTAACAAATCAACAGAAAGGCTCAAATGGTAATGAGATATATTCATATCCTGCATATAGTGTTAGGCCAGACACTCACTTGCATCATCACCTGCTTTTATACAGATTATATTGTACAATATTATACAATCTAATATTGTATGTGTATAATACATGTATAAGAACTGTATACCTATAAGGTACTTAAAGGTATGTACGTATGTTAACCACACAGGATATAAGGATATAAGTGCACATGGCTGAGTGTATAAAGAAATAAAAAAGAGATTTAAAAAGAAAAAGTGTATATTCCTCTTCACGATCAACTAATTTTAAATGCCCTTCCTGATAGTCATAAAATAGCTAAAATTGAGCTAAAAATTACATAGTATATGTACTGCTTCATTAAAACAGTCATGAATATATTCACAGGCACGCCAAAATAATTCATATACATTGAAAGTGTCTATTAATTTTGGGGTCTTTTTTGTGCTTCTTACACATTAAATCTTTGTGAAATTGATTCAGAATTTGAAAGCCTTATTAGTGAATTTTAATTTTTTTCCCTTTTCCTCTGCTTATTTGTAATGTTTTGTAATACTTCAATTATATTCTGTAGGACGCACAGCCTGTATTGCATCTCATCCAACTGAGAGTTAGATCTTCTGCAAAGAAAAATAGAAAAGAGAAATATTACAACTGAACCAAAATACTCAAGCTAAATGGCCTACAACCCTCAGATTTGGTAACAAAACTTTTGAGAGAAAAAGAAAAGAGAAAAAAAACAACTGGGAACTTCATTCAACTCAATGTGTTACAATTGAGACACCACCAAAGTAAATGGTTAACTGAAAGAGAATAATGCTATTCAAGATACTTATGTAACTTTATTATTTTATTCTGTTTTGTACTCTTTTTTTCCTAACTCAAAGTCTGTATGCCAGATTCTGTCTTTTATTTTTACTCAGAGTTAGAATGGCTTCCTTGACATTACCAAGCTTCCCTATGCTGATATTAACTTCATACTAGCTGCAATTCACCATACTGAATTACAATGGTCTAAGCAAACTCTGGAGATAAATAATTTCCCCCTTAAAATTGGCTAACTCTATCTTCAACACATAACTCGATCTGAAATTCTGATGCAAGGAATATGGAATGAATTCTGAGGCTATACAAGCATATGTAAGGAAATGAGCATGACTTGAAAATGGTTACAAAATGCTGTTTTCACAAATCCCCTTTTTGCAGAAATCACACATTTTTGCTTTGCTCTGTGCAGGGCTGAAGCAAAATTTCAATAGTTTGGAAAAGGTGTTAAAGGTTAGCCTCAGACACAGTTTCTGTAAATGGTATTGAGCTTAGTGCTGTCCACAAGAGGAGAATCCTTAAAACTGGTTTTGACAAAAAAGAAATTGAACTGTGTTTTACAGTAGCAAATGTAGAAATGAGGTCTAAGTAATAGAAGAAGATATTTTAAACCCAGAATTTGCAGTCTTAATCTGAGCAATCTTTGAACAGTTCTTTATCTGTGCATAAGATTTTCTATGAAATATGAAGTACATATTTTTGTGCATTTTTTGTCAAATTTTGTATATTTTTTAATATAAAATTCAGTGGCATAGTGACATTTGACTTATAATTAATAGATGTATAATAAATTATTTTAACAGACTTTGCATTTAATCTTACAAATGTAAAGACACTTACATTCCAAATCTGAATTTTCCATACAGTGTCAATTTCAGACCTTCTGGTGAATTTATAAGTCAGAGTAGCTCTATTATAGTAAATAAAACAATGTATTAAATAATTATTATTGTTTCATAAAGAAATTGTAGAGAATTGGGACTGGCTTATTGAAAAGTATGTTCATATAAAAAATACTTTTTCTAGATAAAATGTCAGCTTGGTTTTGGTTTTTTTTTAAAACTATTTTCGTTAACACAAATCAAAAATAGTGCTATAAAGCTCTACATTTAAAGTCTTTACTTATATCAGTATGGTAATAAAAATTCACTGTCAAATTTTCTCTTGGGAGATTTAAAGTTATACTTTGCTAAATAGATACCTAGATCACGTTTTCCAAATCTATGAATTTTCAATACACTTTGAGAAACACTGCCCAGAAATAAAGATAAGAAGGTGTGTCATCTTGCCATTTAGTGGAAATAAAATACATTCCATAGAACGGCACAAATTAAATTCATGTTTAACATATATGTGAACATGAAATACCTCTGCCTTTCCCAAGGAACAATAGCACAGTTGTATGGGGTCCAAAAGCATGGTTGGGTCCTTTGAAACTACTTCCCCTGATAAACCTGAATTTGAAAACTGTCTTACTGAGGAATAAGAGGCATTGGAGAATATACTGCCTCTTTGCTGACCATTCTTCAGTGTCTGTTAGTATATCACGTTGTGTGGGACCTTCCTGTGGGAAGCCTGAGTAGGACAAGCCAGTGCCATCATCCTGTGATAGCATCTGGAGATATCCTGAGAGGAGATAATTTCTCTTGCTCACCTATGCGTTGAAGGAATGTCTTTGAGCCCAGCTGCAGCAAGAAGCATCTGCACATGTAAGTACATTGTTTACTTCAATATTCTGTAAGATTCAGAGTTTCAATTTTCCTAGGATGTTTGTCATACTAAAAATTGTGTACAGAAGAGCCTGACCATAAGGGC